AGTGATGTTGCATGCATAATCCAGGCGCTCGCACCAACAACGGTGTATCCTCCGGCGAGGGACTCGCAACCCTTGAGAACCCCTCTTTACCCAGGTCTCGTCTACTTAAGTCACGGATTGACCGGTGATACTTGCATCCCAGTCTCCAATTGCGCTTGTCCTTGCCCGACATCTCAAAACATAGCACCAGCAATTGACATCGAAGATGACCAACTCTTCACCCAGCCCGGTGGCGGCGAATGACAGGTCACAAACAGCATCGCCTAATCGTGAACAGGCCCTGACCTCGGCCAACGAAGCTGCTACTCTAGAGGTCGATGATACAGCTAGCGTTCGTAGCCTTGTTTCTCGAGCCGATCAAGTTGGGTCAACTGACTTGGAAACTGCCTTACTCTAGATTAACGGATCGGGCTCCAGTATCAGTGATCAAATGTAGAAGATATTGCTCATGATTTTGGTGACGCAACACTAACGCCGTAACTAGCTCGACCTACACGGCGTCTTTAACCTCCAGCGCGATAGACTATCCCACCGAATACGGCCGACGGTATCATGCATTTCGTGCGGGAGGTAAGTGACTCGATACACCTGCTTGGGTCTAATTTCGCACCAACATGGGCTCAGGGCAAAGAGACTCTACCAGTGACTAACAGAGAACCAGCATATTTGGGACCGAATGACGAGGTATTCCGAAACCCTGAGAATATATGCGCCCAGAAAGCAAGAACAATCATTGACTATTTACTTCGTATATACAGTTAGAGATGGACCGACTGGACTTTCATCACACCTACATGGTGAAGATCCTCGGCAGGAAGCTATTCTTGGCTCCAATTCCATCCGAGACCACCCATAGGATTCTTGACATTGGCACCGGTACTGGCATCTGTAAGCAACGCCCGAGATCAAGTTGGTTGATTGTTGCTAACCAGATGAGTATGAAGGGGCCATCGAGGCAGCAGACGTCTTTCCCAACGCAGAGGTACGCGCTCCGCTATGCTTGTGTCCTTAACCAACTAATTGCTCATAAAAGTCTACTCTTCACAGATCTTAGGAAACGATTTGAGCGCGATTCAGCCATCTTGGTAAGTGTTGTGGATTTGAGGCAGTACTTCCCATTGACCAATTTTCAGGGTTCCGCCGAACGTCAAGTTTGAAATTGACGACGTTGAAAGCTCCTGGGTAAACGAGCAGAAATTCGACTTCATCTTTTGTCGATACATGGCCGGTTCTATTGTCGATTGGCCCAAGCTCATGAAACAAATCTACGCGTATGCCTCCTCTAGACGGTCGATAGGCCAATACTGACCAAAGTCCTAGAAATCTCAAGCCTGGAGGCTGGGTCGAGTTTCAAGACTACGACATCAATTATGTCTCGGAGGACGGAACACTGACTGAAGAGCACCACACTGATCGGTGGAGTAAACTCTTGATCGAGGCCTGCAGAAAGATTGGCCGTGATCCCTGCATCGGACCGTTGCTCGAAGGCTGGGTTAAGGAAACAGGATTCGTCGATGTCGTCCACCAGAAGTTCAAGATGCCCATCGGGCCATGGGCCAAAGATCCTCACTACAAAGAGATTGGTATGATGAACCTCATTCAGCTAATGGATGGCTTGGAAGCATTTAGTTTGAGGACCTTCTGTGGCGTCCATGGATGGACCAGAGAGGAAGTCTTGGTACTGCTAGCCGAGGTACGCAAGGAGCTAAAGGCCGGGAGCTTCCATGCCCATACTGCGATGTAAGTCTCCTTTCAATTGCTTCGACTAGTCTTTATTTATGGGAGAGTTGACTGACGCTGTCTTTGATAGCCACGTGGTTTATGCACAAAAACCAGATGAAGAGGAGGTGGAGGAGACCTCTTGATCGCAGGAAAGTGGATGGCACAAATATTACACATATCGATGGGGGGATTGATCGCTTTCCCGAGGTTTACTTCACTCAAGTCTGCTCCAGCGCATGCATTAGAATCGTCTTTCTGAGAACAATAATGATTGCGAAACTCAATTTTGTGCTACAGTGCGGCTCACATGTCATGGCCAGAGCATAATCGCCTTGGAATCGCGCGCGATCGAACTCATAATGCGGGTGAACTAGCGTCTGCCCAGGGCAATTCCGGGTGAGACATCACATCTGCTAACGGGATCTCGAGGCATGATCCTCATTTATAGGTACCGGATGGAACCGATGAAGATCCCGCCACGGCAAACTAGGCCCGATGCGACTTCAAGCCCGCTCCCGTTCGATCCATCCGGGCTGATTCTCCAAGCCATCGACGCCCTGGTTGCTATTTGACGAGAGTCTCGCCCCAGACACCTCACCGAAACCGAATGATGGTGGCCGGAATCAAGCGAGACTGTCAGCCTGGGAGAGGTAGCTCTTTGAACAGCCACGCCGCCGAGATGGGCCCTCTTGCAGGTATGTCTCGTGGGCCTTTTGTCTGGAATGCGTGGTTCTCGTTGCCAGAGTGCAACGGGTGATGGTTTCAATGGAAGACCCCCTTCTCGAACCTGTCTAGTGCTGCTATCCTTTCCCTTAAAAGTGTTTGTCGGTCGTCACAAAAACCATCAAGGACGCGCCATATTCGATTTCTTGGCGTTCATCAGAGATCAACTTCGAGATTGCTTATCAGAGCCACCGCCGTTGATTGACACCATGCGGACAACCTTGGTGGCCCTTCTCGTCGGTGTGACGACAATCTTCGCCCAACAGCCAACTCTACCCGATGTTCCCGGTCTTTCACTCGACGATAATCCCCCATGCGCTGTAAGAAGACTGGAACCACCCCATCGGCAACTAGATACGGCGGTGTTAATTTGAAGTGAAGCTGCCTTGCCTCCTCGGAGGCCTCAATCAAACGAACTGCCCCACGAATGATCAAACATGTCTGTGTCAGGATGACGACTTCATCAAATTCGTGGAAGGATGTGTTATTATGAGTTGCCCGCTGAAATACGCCATCAGTAGGTCTCAATCCGCCCCAGTGCGGAAGTTATCCGTCTCACGTCTACTTCAGTCACGCAAAATATCACCTGGACCGCGTGTGATTTCCCTCTGCACAATGAGGTACCAGCCACGAAAGTAGCTCGGATCGTTCTGTTCGCGATGCTTCCAACACTCGCCATCATCCTTCGGCTGATAACGAAGTTTGCTCGGTTATCGCCGTGGGGTTGGGATGACTACACTATTATTGTGGCATACGTAGGTCGCCGACCAGTCCGGAAAGGCCTGACCAAGACACTAATATGATGTTTGAAGATTATACTTGTGGCGTACGTGTCATTGCACGTCTTTCGTAAGCCACCGAGGGATTCTCAACTCCAAAAGTGCGCTGACATTATTGAACAGTCGAGGATAACGGTGCCGGGAGAGATCTATGGACTCTCAGTAACTCACAGATTACCCATTTCTTCAAGGTATTCAACGCCTGCCACTTCTTCGCGGACGTCAAATCGTCTGTACGACTTGCACCCGGGGCTATTGTTGCTAACATCAAATCTTATAGGGCTTCTATGCACTACAAACATTATATCATTCCTGCATCGACATCATCAAGGCATCGATTCTCTTCATGTACCTTCGGATTTTTCATCTGCCTGGCGAAAAGATCACCATTGCGTTGTGGGTCACGCAGGTACTCAACCTCATGAACGGCATCATCTTCATCTTCGTTGGCCTGTTCCAGTGCAATCCTGTGAGTCTTGCATGGACATTCTGGACAGGGGATGCGACTGGGAAGTGTATGAACATTGTATATCTCGCGCTGGCACACGCGGGGATAAACATTGCGCTGGATGTTTGGATGCTCATTTTACCCCTGACCCAAGTTTGGGGCATGAATCTGGCTCGCCGCAAGAAGTTTGCGATCATGTTCATGTTCAGTCTCGGTCTGTTGTGAGTACCTTGCCTTAATATCCATCTCATAAAGCACCGCAGGTTACTGACATATTCGTTTCAGTCTCACAGTTGTAAGCTGCATCCGGATCAAAGCAATCTTGGACTTTAGGAAAGATCCGCTCAACCCTACCGGTAAGCTCCTGATTGCTTCGCTCCACACGATGAAGCCTGAGTACTGATGCATTTCACTCCATCGCAGTGGCCATGATGCCGAGCGTCATTTGGACGGACCTTGAGCTTTACGTTGGAATTTTCACAGCTTGCATACCGACTCTTCGTCAGTTCTTTGTTCGGTTCATCCTTCAACAGTCAGAAAAGAAGAAGCATTTGAGTTCAGCTGCGGCTGAGTATAGAGGCTCAATGCTCACGCCCAAGAAGGGCGGGTCGCAGCAAATGAGCGAGCTCGACACCATAGACGAGAGCAGCCACCATAATTCTCCATAAAATCATAGTATGAGAGTAAGATTTTAGGACTTACCTCGTCCGTATGTATAATAATTAAGTGCAGACTTAATGTTGGCATATGTAGATATCAAAGATTAAGGTTGCTACCCGCAGTGGAAGAAGCTGAACCGCCTTTTCCTCTGGCTATCTTATTCCTATGGAATGTTCCTTCGTGGAATCTGATCACCTTGATTGATCATAGCTAGAATCTTGTCGTTTATATATTGTCGCCGCCCAAGTATTTATTCGAGGATAGAGAAGGTGAAAGGAAAAGTAGCCATCTCTCCAGAAATTCATTCGTCAGATCGTGGGCTCCTGCATTTAAGCGCAGCTTCATCAAACTACCTCGAAAAATTACTAAGCCTTATCGGTGCTCAAGAACCCCAAAGCCCGGATCTCAGAGCGGAATTCTAAAATGAGGCTAAGCTCTGTTCCCCTTTTCTCCCTTCGTCAATGACCATCTACTTCAGTTATAGCTCCTTCGTTGCACCCTCCATGTAGCATTCTGAGCTAACGACCATCATCTACTCTCATCTCATCATCTTTCATCACAACCACCAGCTAAAACTCTTTTCTTCACGATCATGGCTCAGTCTTCTTCCGACTCCTCTCAAGCAGAATACTCTCTCAAGGCCACTGTGGCTGCCATCACATCCTACTATGAACTTCTCGCCCGCGTACACCCTGGCAGTGTCTGTTCTCTCGAGTACCCTCCCTCCGGAGGATGGCCTCGGATTACGTCTGAATCCTTCTCCATCTTGGGCCGAAATGATACCGTCATTGAGTTGATGCGGCACATTCCGGTATTTCACTAGCGATCGGATCAGCTGCATGAAATCAAATACACCCTGTAACTTCGCAGACGTATCTTTCTGCAGAAGGACCCATGAAGAAAGCCGCGCGTATAATGAGGAAGTGCGGCCTGTCCCTCAAGACAAGATTGGTGCCAATCCTGGCTACTCTCCTGAGGGCGGAGGAGTGCCGATCACATCCAGCATGTTCACCTTGGCAGTGCTGGCCGAAGAAAAAGAAGAGGGCTATGATATCCTTCTTGAGACGGAACACAACATCGTCATTGTGGGCAGAGTTAGAGAGGAATTCCCACGCGGGTAGGCACCGATCCCTCCCGATGCGGATCATATCCAATGGGGCGGAGATGATGAAGACGAGGCGGAAGATGAAAAAGACGATAAAAGTAACGGAGAGGATAGTGAAGAGAGTGAGGAGGATGTCGACATATATACACTCGGTCATAATTGGAGATATTTGCCGACCTATCGCATCAATACATTCTTCAAAATGTGTCAAGAGCAATGGAAGGTTATGAACTGGATGCCAAAAAATGGAATGGGCTGGCCACATTGGGAAGAGATACCGGTCCGCAGAAACAGAGCTTGACGAGACGTACGGCAATGGTCTCAGGCAAAAGATCATGCGGGAAGCTGGCTGGCCCGGTACAGGGGAGGAAGTTGGCTTGGGATGGGACAAGGCAAAGGCAGAGAAACAGATGATTGAGCTCATGTAGATTTTCAATGATGGCAGTTCCTACGCTTTGATCGGTGATATGTCTGTGGGATTCAGCATTGTTTCGGCACTGGTTGTATTTGTTTTTTAGCTACCGTTTGAAACTGGCGGATCGGGACCGCTGACCAGGCTCCGGGCCGGACGTGGCGCGTGCACGCGCGGGACGGAGCGAGCACCCGCAACGGCAGGTGAACACAGCTTCCGTTGGGATGGAAGCATCCATACATCACGTTAGTTGTTGATCTGCTTCCATCAAGCATCTAACCTCCTGAATACGTTTGCTACTCTGATATAGTTTGAGAAGCGTCTGGGAAATGAAGTTGCTGCCGTATTCGCTAAAATCATGCATGCATCGTTGCTGAGTCCACTGCCTTATCGCCTTAGGTAAGCCCAGACCACTTAAAGTCCAGCGGGGCTATCACGTACATAACGCGCCTCGACCATCAAAAGACGCGTCGCGCCCGGCACTCCCTAGCATCATTCTATCTCGCATACTCAACTTGTCACAGGCAAATGGAGATATTCCATTCGATCTGATCCCCGTCGGCCTGTACCATCCTTTCCCGACTCTGATACAAATACAACATCGTCAATTCGATCATTCTGCCCCGGTTATCTCAGACAGCACCGAAATTACCGCCTTTTATTTTCCAAGAGTTCTACCTGGATCTCCAGACAAAGATGGCTCACAAGCGCAAGCGCTCCGAATCCGAACTCGTCACCCTCTTCCCCTCGCCAGCTCGCTCCGAATCCAGTATCGAATCCTTCGAGTCACCAATCTCTCCCAGCCCCATCTATCCTCGCGCACATGCGACGCCATCGCATCTCTCGAGTCGCACAATGAAGCGCTTCCGCGACAACAGGCCCTCGGAGGAGCAAATCCATCGTAAGTCTGGTCCATGGCGTCAATCAAGAAGGGCAACATAGCTGACAGCATACCTCAGAACGTACTCTGAACATGCTTTACTCCGCACAGCAACACAACCAGTACCCAGCCGACGCAGGCCACGAGACGAATCAGTCCGAACCCACACCCGTTCCTGCCGCCCGCAATAGCCAGAAGTCCCTTCACAGCTTCTGGAATATCAAATCGGCCGAGCCCAGGTGCCCCGCCTCAGCTCCGTCCGTAGACCAGAGCGCGCTGTCGCCAATGAGCTGCGACGACTGCGGCTCTGGTCTCGGTGTCTCTGATGGCGCGGCGGGCGGGATGGATATTGACGATGGCTACAGCTACGGTGTTGATCACTCTTGCGGTGCGTGCAGCAGGCACGTGTGCTCGCATTGCTCCGTTACAAACCTCGGCGAGCAGCGGCGATGCTTGAGGTGTGTTGGAGTTGCAGCGGGAGCGGCACGAAACGGCTCTGGATGGCCATCCTCTTCGATGTCTATCTTCTAAGTATCCTAGCCTGGCTGCTTCTGGGCATCATTCTTTTTGGTGGCGCATTGGGTTCTACACGTCAACGGCATGCCACGCCATGGCAGTCAGCCGTGTATGGTTCTGGGAAAAGGCGTTTCTGGCTTGCTGTGACATGATTCTCTGGTATTGGCGTTGGGGTATTTGATCGTTCAGGAGATACCATAGGATATCGTGCATCACAATTCAATTTCAATCTGCGCATTCACTCAATAATCAGCTCATACTCAGCCGCGCGAGCAATTGACGATGCTACGTACTGCGTCTAGAGCACCATGCATGATATGGACCGCGCCTCTTCAGGGGATGCCACATAAGAGTGGCACTTTGGCAGCGTGATCCAAATCGATCAGCACGAAGGTTCTCAGATAACCAATCACTGTATTATTCAGGTGGAAACGGAGTCGTTCAGTCCAATGATATCCAGTGAAAGGCCAGAAAACCCGGCCAAGGCGCGTGGCTAGGTGCAGCCGCCTGCATACGACGTTCTGAACCAACAGACGACGGCAGCAGCCTATCGCAACAACCTTTGCCGCAGAGATCCGTTCTTTCCCCTCTTCCGAAAAACTCCTAGAAAGCGGCCTAAACCTGCAAAGTTTCCAACATAAGTGACGGGCGTTTGCTATTCGACCTCGTGAAGCAACCAGCAGACAGAGCCCTACTTACTCTTGCGCCCAAGGCGCCTCCGTCGCTCATATTCAGTTTATACCAACACAAGATGGCCGAAGCAATCGGTCTCGCGACAAGCGTTATCGCCGTTGCCGAAGTCACAGGCAAGGCCATAGGTCTGACTCTCAAAATCAAATCGCTCTGGTGCGAAGTCAAGAACGTCCCAGCCGTTCTTCTCGAAAAGGCCGAAGAACTTCAAGATCTAGACGACTATCTCAAAGACGCCGAAACTCAGACTGCGAGCAGTCCTGTATCCAAGTCGGTCATCAACGATGGGATTATGCAGAAGTCGCTCCGGCGAGCCCGCGCCGCGTTGGCAGATATACAGAACACCATCGATGACCTCAGTCTTCAGATGTCTGATCCGCGGAAGCATCGACGCAAATTGACTGCTGCAAAATTTGTCTTGCAGAAAGATACAATAGAAGACATGGAACGAAAGCTCGATCGAGCTTTGGAACTTTTCAAGGTGGCTCAAGGAATCTATTGCACGTGAGTGAATACTGGATATTTAGGTACTGAATTCTTTCTAGAGCTTGGCTGATCTGAGGTGAGCAGAAAATTGACTATGCTTTCCACGGCCATCATATTGGAACGGCTCCCGAATTGTTTGAGTCCTTCGGAAGTCACAGAGAAATCATCCCAAAAAGTCGAGGTGGCAGAATTCTTTGAGCAACATAAACCAGCTGTTGCCAACAAAGCTGGCAAAGACAACCTTGATATGGCTCAAGGCACAACCGCTATTGGAAGGCTTCGTCTTGGGTTTGGAGACGACGTCTTCCAGATTTCGCTCAGATCACCCAGTTGGCTCGGCAGCAAGGTTTATTCCGCCATGTGCCACAAGAGCATACTTGGGTGGCAAATCAATCTTAGAACTTATGTGGTGATCGAGAGCTTCTTCGGCTTTGAAGATGCCGTGAAGTCCGACGATCCACAGGCTCTCATGCAACATTTGCGATCAAAATCGCTCACACCATTTGTTCAAAACGAGGGCGGGGAAAGCTTATTATCCGTACGTGAATCCAACTACCAGCTCGACGAGATAAGAGCAATTGGCACTGATCCGATGTAAGCTTTGCGCCCAAAACCGATGGGTCAACATTGCGAAATGGCTTCTCACCTTTGGGCTGTGCGCTGGTTCCTATAGCGGTGACTTCAAGGAGCTGAGGTTCATCATCCTCAAAGTCCATGATTTTATTGGCACTTCAATGCTAATGCATTACAGAAACTCATATTCAAGTCATCTCATTTACAACGCTACCAATCAATGGTCTCATCCTCCAACTGCCCGCTCAGATTCTCCATCCGACTTGGCTCTCCTTTTCGCCTCACACGCGCTGAATGGAGACACTGGTATATCAGTTGACATTATGGCCTTCATAGCAGGCCTTGCAAACTTTGAAAATTTCAGCAGACTGCTTCATTCCAAGTCTCCAGTGTCAGATCCAAAATGGTTTTCTTTTGGTGCCAGAGTTTCATTTGCATATTCTGGAATCCTTGGCTCTATCTGGACCTTGGAACAAACATCTTCCGTGCTTACGGAACTCGGAAGCCTCACTAGAGAGCTCCTAATGTCCTGGCGACTCGGAAGACAAGACCCAGTTGTGATGACCTTGGCAGCAGTGGGAATCGGGGCTTCGTCTGCTCGAGCACCCCGTGGCGATCCCGCCCAGTCGGAATCCGTCACTGGGTATGCGCGACTAGCCGACCAAATCATTTCACTGGATCCTGAGAGTCTCATAAAAGCTACCAGAGACCAGAGGAGAAACAGTCCGATGCACATGTTCATGTGGTATATGCTTACCAACATGCAGCCTTGCTCGGCAGATCAAGCAGACAAAATCATACAATCGGCTTTACTTGTCTGGGTGACGACACTATACCGCAACAAGGTGGATCTTATAGATCATGGCCGTCAGTCGCAAATGACCTATAGCGTGCGAAGGCGTTGTGTGCTTCCTGGATGGACGTTTCGGATGGTTCAGTATCGCTCCGAGCCACGTAAGCGTCATCAGAAACGTGAACGATATTATCGGGCTGAATACGTCGGCATCACTTACGGTTCCTTGCCGGAACATTGGAAGATATGGTGGGCGGTTGAATATGAATGTTACGCGGGTGATTGTTGGAGAATGCTCGAGGATTCTGCCATCCAAATTCCAGGTAGCTGGGTGGATGATAGAGTTTTTGACGATGAGAAGATGTTGCCATCGTGGGTACTTGAAGAAAATCGCCCGTTGATATGGTCTGAATATCGCAAGATCAGGCCACCTGTATAAGAGTATATTCTTCTTAGAAGCGGTCTTTGCCAACCCACCTCTATTTCGTAGGACATTCACTAGAGCTTACATTTCACGACCTCACGACATACAAGAGTTACGTTACCAAAGACACCGAACTTCTCGCAACGGAGCAGCAATTCTCTGATCATGCAAGGGAGTTAATACCACTGTGCGTTGTAGACTATGGTGCTACTGATCAGTACTAAGTGAATGTGTGAGCAGGGAGCAGGTGGAGATACTTTGCTGAGGCGTTAGTTCCGCCTCAAGACTGTCTCTTGAGAACCCTTATGCAGTGCTTAGCACGACACTGAGGGCGAGAGATCCGAGTTCCTACACATTTCAAGCATGGACCACGCTTAAAACAAATAGTCTCTTCTTTCTCGATAGCTCTCATTACAGCCCCTTCTATCTTCTTATGCGCTCTATGAGTTGGAGTATAAGCATAGAGTCAAACGTGTCAAAGACAGAATCGACGCCAACTAGAGGCAGATTTGTAAAGAAGGGAAAAGAGACTATAGTTAGCTTATCAAATATATCCTCATGAAAAGTCGTGAGGCTCAGCCAAGGTAATGAGTTGCCTTGTGTCTACCCCATGCAAACGCCAGTCAGCTATGGGCAGGATAAGATGGTGTTGCGGGCGAAGCGATCGAATCAAATGATGGAAAGTCTAGACGCAACCACATGCATGGCGCACTATGCTGGACCAATAAGCCCAGCACCGCCTCATGACACTGAGGTTCATAAGGCTACGGACTCTGCCCCTCCCGCTCTCGTCTGACCTTTCTCCTCTTTTCTCTTCGAATCTTACTGTGCTTTACGAAGACCCAAAGCATTCATTCCTTTCTCGTTTCCTGCTCACCTGCGGTTTTATTCTCGGCGCTCGACTCCTCGGCAACCTCTAACTCTGGATCGGTAAAAGCGGAACTCAACACTCAGCTTATCAATATGGCGGAAGCTCTTGGCCTAGCTGCCAGCGTCATTGCCATGGTCGACGTAACCGCCAAAGTCGGCAGCGCCACGCTCAAGCTCATGAAACTGTGGAACGAGGTAAAGGAAGTACCAACAATGCTTCTACAGAAAGCGGAACGTGTCAGAGATCTAGAGGACTTCCTGCTTGATGCCGAAGACCACATACAAAGTAGCCCGCTGCCACAAGCCTTCTGGAGTACGAACTACCGCTTGCGGCAACACATTGAAAAGGTCCGCCGTGCACTTGACGAGGTTCAAGATATGGTGGACGATTTACAAGCCAAGTTGACTGCCCGAAAAGACGGCTTCAGAAGCAAGCTGTTGTCAACCAAGGTTGTGTTTCGGAAAGACGAGTTGAAAGCCTTGGACACGAAGCTTGATGCAGCTCTCGGTTTATTTTCCATCGCACAGATGCAGTGGATTATGTGAGCTACTGCCTTACATACCACTCTTTTAGGTTCGGCTTTGTAACCATACATATTCTAGGGCGATGTCGACATTTAGAACCTCAATGAGCATCGAAGAGCGGTCTAGAAGACCAGCTGCTCCAAACACGCTGACGGCGGCAAGAAAGAAAGAGAGAGTAAGGGCATCAACCACACCCGCTCTCTGCTACATTTCTACCCCAGCTTCGATATTGCCTACCTTTCGACTCGGTTTTGGAGACAAAGACAGCTTCCAATTTTCTATCCAGGCACCTTATTGGCTCTCTGGGTCTGTATACTCAGTCATGGCCCAGAAAAGTTATCAGGGCTGGCAGCTCAACCTGAGAGCTTACGAAATTGTGAGAAACTTTAGCAACGGATTATATGATTGCATCGAAAATGACGACCCCTCTGGAACTCTCCACTTGTTGTCTGAAAGCAACATGACTCCCTTCGCAAAAAATCAATTTGGAAGAAGTCTACTGCATGTGAGAATTTTCGCTCTGGCAATGACATGAAGATTTGGCCACTGATAAGGCTGAGTCAATCACAGGTCGCAGTCGAACAGAAATCTCTCAGAGTAATAGATATTTTTCTAGAAAGAGGACTTGCATGTTTTCTGCAAGACCCGTGGGATAACAGAGTGAAGAATAGGTAATAACTTACTTCCTTAGGCTGTGACACCGAGAATACCATATTAACATCTTTGACAATACATAGATATCCCTTTTTACTTTACGAGCTTAGTTGGTTGAGCCATTCATATCGATATCATGACTTGGAACCTACGCTACGAAAGCTGTTTCTAGATAACTTCCTCGATGATTTCCTCGAATATTCGGAGCAAGTCTCACTTCTTCTTGAATTCGGCATTAGCTTATCTTTCCTTCAATTGCTTTTGGAACGCAACAATCTCACCGAGACACCATTTTCCTTTCCAACACGGCTGTTCCATCTCAGACTAGCTGCAACGAAATGCGGCTGGGAGGCGCGGGAAATTTGTGTCTTAATTCCGGAAGCTCAACATCTTGATGTACACTCCGGAATGTTTGCATATTCCAGAAATATTGAAGGATACTCCCTCTTTCATTCATTCGTCATGGGGATGGCTGGCAACTTTTCGAGAAAGACCCGCCACCCAGATCCTGACCAGTGGGCCATATCAAGACAGTGGTGGAACAGATTACTCCATGACGGCATCAGGCTGGACCGTCCAAGTCTACATCACATCGACACAACTTTTGGTTGGTCAGGATATAAGTCCATGAGCTCACCCTTGCTTGCAGTCATCACATCGTCAATCGATGGAAACCCCTTGATTCTAAGCACTGCGAGACAAGTATGTGAATCGCTGATAGGAGTACTTTTCGAGTGGGTCGCTATGCTATCTTCCAGCAACGTAGACCTTCTGGAATACGGGCGTGAAGAAAAGCACATGTTCAAGCAAGGTCTTACGAATGTCCGGCAGCGATGGGCCCCTTGGGTAGCAAACTCTTCCGGGATAACTCGATTATCTGTTATCGGCATCACTTATGGTTCTTGTCCAAGCCACTGGAAGCTGTGGTGGACATATGAGTACGAAGATTATGCAGGAGAATTCTGGGACATGGTCCAGGACGAGGCGAGCAAGGTACCTGGTGCCTGGGTTGATGACGCTTGGGATCCAGATGACTATGCTAATGAGGAGTGGGACAGGTGGGAAGCATGGGAAAAGGAGCTGCCCCCTCCGTTGATTTGGTCCGAGTATCGCAGAGTTCGGCCGCCAGTCTGAGTTGATACCGGAATCAATGATTCAGTCGTCAGACAAACAACTGGCTCTTACTACAGTCATCACTCTTCAAGTTACTTGAATGTTGCTCATTCAAAGCGTTCTCCCGTTCACGAATAGGCTATCACTAAATCTATTCCAATTGCATCAACGGGATCCAGTGCACAAGCTTAAGAGGTAGTGGTGTACCTTAGGTCAGGGCAGAATTTAAAGTATCTCAGTGAGTAGCCGCCGAGTGAATATCACCCCGATAATTGCATCCAATAGCTAGTCGGAGTGCTATGTTTGGAAAACCCGTATGCGGTATGCAACCTGGAGGAAAAGTCTCTCTACCGGGAGCCCCTAAATCCCAAGCTTCCGCTCCATTTGAGGACAGCGTTCCTCAAATTGTTGGCCAAGATCCGGTTGAGCTCTGTTGCCTTTTCATCATAGCTGTGATTGTTTCTTATTCCAACCATCTTCCAGACTTTCTTGACTTTTTTCTGCGTCGGACCAGTCTAAAAAGGCAAAATTTGGAGACAATTTAGCGTCACGTGCAGCTTGTCGGCCTGACGATCGCACCTTCCTTGCTGGGTACCTCACCTCAGGTACCTTCCCTGAGCTAAGCTCACTGCCAAATCTTGGAATCGACTTGTCGCCTCTCACATTGTCTCATACAACAAACTCACAACACCATCCGCTCGCTCACGTTCTTTCCCTCCTTTCTCGATACCCGCCGACCTGTACCGGCCGTCCGTCATTCAATTCCGCTCATTTTATCATTGCCCCTGGATTCGAAGCGCAGATCCAAGCCCACAGACTTCTCTACCTGAGCTTCTCTCTATCCCTCTGACGGAAGACATCCACAATGCTCGGCTGGTATGCTTTGCCGACAAAATTTCTTGATATCGCCAAGCTTTGCATCGCTAAACACTTCATCTCTAGGTATCAGGCAAGACTCGCGGCTCGCCCGCTGCTCACTCAGAGCATCACCACCGCCATCCTCTTCGCGACCGGTGACATCACTGCCCAGCAGCTCGTCGATAAGCGCGGCCTCGAGAAGCACGAATGGGCCCGCACAGGCCGCATGGCCCTCTACGGCGGTGGTAAGCTCCACCTCACCTCACCTGCACTAAGAGAACTCACGCGCGACGACGCCTTCATCGTCGATCTGAGCTCTGGCCGATGAATTCGATTCCACTAACCAAATGCCTTCAGTCATCTTTGGCCCCGTCGCCACAACCTGGTTCAAGTTCCTGCAGAACAACATCGTCCTGAAGAACAAGAACGCCGAGATGCTCGCCCGTGTCGCCGTTGACCAGGGTGTCTTTGCCCCCGTTATGATCAGCGTCTTCCTGTCCTCCATGGCCACGCTCGAGGGCGGCTCTATCAAGGAGAAGCTTGACAAGAACTACAAGACTGCGCTCACGTCCAACTACATGCTCTGGCCGTTCGTCCAGGTAGTGAACTTCAAGTTCGTGCCGCTTCACCACCGTGTGCTCTTTGTCAACGTCATCAGCATTGGCTGGAACTCGTACCTCAGTTTCTTGAACAGCCAATAGATGGCTATTGGGGACTGGGTAGTAAGATGAGCTTGAAGTGGTTACCGCCAATTGAGGGAAGCAGTCTAGAGGATGGCTCGGGGGAACTGAGAATTCGCTGTGATTCCAGCGTCGTATAGCGATTTATGGCTTCAGATTTCGAGCATTAGAAGCAGGATAGACGAGATTGAAGTGAGGAAAAGATGGTCATGGGCAGGGCCGGTGGGAATATACTGCACCATTCTTATTCTATCTCAACGTGAAGAGTTGCCTCAAAGCATGATGATAGGCCTGCCATTGTTGCCCGTTAAGAAGCGAATGTTCCTACTAGTTCAGATCGACTAAGGTATACAGTAGAACAGTCACATTGGGAAACAAAGTGTGAAGTATTAACATTGAACAGTAACAGAGGTATTGCCGTGGTTCAAAGACGGCCACAAGCTCAGCCCTGCCAATGAGCGATGGATGCGGGGAAGATGAGGAGCCTCAAGTTTCCTACGCTGTAATTTGTACTCGTTCATCTCTTCTTAGTACTCATATGTGTCGGCAACCATATATCTGACTGGATCCTCATTGCATGACAACCAAGTGGAAACACTTAGCTCATAGTTCCGCGTTTGCTATCTGGCATCGCACCACTCGCAGCAATAGATAACTGAGCTACTGCCATCCCCTCATTCTCCCCACCCTTAACCGGGATCCTTCGGCGACGGAGTCGGCCGCTGCAACGTTGCAAGTCAACCTGGCGCCGAACGGCTGAAAAGCACCTGAAAGTGTTGTTGTAAAGTGACAAATTGAGATAAAGGTCTTCTTGAGACAAGGCATTCGAAGCAATTCCCTCCAGCTCGAAGGCACTCGATCAAAGACACTCACGCAAAGATGACCGCCTCCGGCCTGCTTGATCGCCTCAACCGAGACGGCTTCGTCGTCATCCCTTCAATCCTCACCGAAGACCAACTCAAAGACCTCCGAAGTGCCACTCAAAACGCTACAGCACTGGCCCGCGCCGGAAAATGGCCAAACGTGCGGACGCTGCCCAAGCAGTTCCCGCCGTGGCCGGTCGCCACCCCGGAAGCGCCCCCGGACGGCATCTGGGGCGTCCAGGGGATGATGCACCCCGACATGCCCAATAACGCCGCCTTCATCAAGACGTACTTTTCGGATGCCGTGATTGAGCCTACGAAACAGCTGCTGCAGTGCACCGATGACGATCTTGTCATGGAGCTGTTCAATTTGCTCATACGGCCTGATGAGGACTTTGAGCTGCGGTGGCATAGAGATGATATCCCCGCTACTGCTACCGCCGAAGAGGAGCTCGATCGGCTCAATAAGCCGGCTTATTCGGCGCAGTGGAACCTGGCTCTCTACGATGACAACAGTCTCATCGTCGTCCCAGGCTCGCATACCAGAGCCAGGACAGACATTGAGCGCAACGCTGATCCTTATGAGAAGGAGATCCCTGAGCAACTATACGTGGAACTCAAGGCAGGCGACATTGTCTTTTACAACAACAATATCCTTCACCGCGGCGCATACGTTGCGAATAAAGAACGCATGACACTGCATGGGAGCGCGGGACATGTCAACGGGAGCACCCTCCGAGCCCGCAATGTATTGCAACATGGGCTCAAGGGCTGGGTGGATAAGGTTGATTTGGGCGTGTTGGATGAGAAGGAGAGGGCGAGGGCTGAGAACATGCGGAGAATGCTGGTTAAGCTGGGCGAGGAAGCGGGGGAAGTGGGATATTCACTCGAGGGGTAGTGAGATAAGGCCGTTATGGATCTTCTTACTAAAGACAATCAAATACATGCGCGAGTTTACTTCCGAGGACAAGAAGTCTTGGGTGATTTTGTTCTGGACCAGTCGAGCGGTGTGTAACAGGCCGGGCGGTGAATTGGGCGAGTTCGACCGGACTCTGCCCGGGTCATGTGTGGTGGGCGCTTAGCTGTGTGTACCCGTGACGGGGCGGAGTGAATCAGACTGGAATCCCATCTCGATGATAATTAAGAGGCGCTACCGGCGTTATATCGCTCTGAGGCCCCAAGCAACGTCATTTCTCAAAAAAGAATAACAATACGCCAACTGACACTTCCTGCACTGAAAGGTTGTTTCATCTCAAGTTTCCGTCTTCCATCTCGAAAGCTCTGGGGAAGGAGTGTCAGTGGTCTGTGCACCATTGGATGCCTAAGTAACAAGGTGTCAGTGGAACCCGTGAGCTTTTCCCGTCCTGCGGCCAAATCCGGGTTTGCCAACCATCAACCGACTCTGTCGGCAACATCTGCGTCAGCCTCAACCACCTTCAAAACCACCCCTCCTCCTCCTTCTCGAACCCGTCCAGATCAATACCCCCAAAGGTCTGCACCCGGCGACAATGCTGCCCTCATCGGTGCGGCGCGTGGTCGCTTCGGCGCCGCAGTCCCCTCTCGTCGCCTCCCTCACCACCTCCGCTCCGAGAGCGGCGACGGCCACCATCACCCTTCAGCAGAGACCCGTCGGTGGCCACCAGAGACGATGGTCCTCCTCGAGCCCCTCGAACCCGAATAACAACGGATCCAAGGACATTCCTGCCCAGGGCCAGTCCGTCCATGCCTCGACATCATCGAGCTCCAGCAGCAGCGGCAAGGCCAACGGCGAGAAGCGGAAACGAAAGAGCAAGGACAGCGCCGATAGGGAGGCTGCGCAGAAGCTGCCCAGCGTGCCCAGCACACAACATCTTTCCCAAGAAGGTGTGTAGCTATGCGGAATCTGGATGTTGTGGTAAAACTTGCTAACTAAACCATGCGCAGCTCTCGGCTTGTCAACCTTTTTCTCGCTGCACCGGCCGATATCTGTGACCCACAGCATGCCCAAGTCAGTGACGGAAGAAGCCTTCGCCGCCATCTTTAAGCCCCGGAGCAGGGCGAACAAGGTCACCGACGTCATCTCAACACTATCGCGGACGACCGACGACCTCGAGGGCGCCATGGCCAAGATGACCATCGGCCACCAGGAGACGGATGCGTCAGGCGAGCCCGTCCAAAAGATCGACTTCAAGAACCCCGACGGCACCGAGTCGAGCGTCTACGTCCAGCTCAACAGCATGGCCGGCCAGTTCGTCCCCTTCCGCCCTCCCCCGGCCCCCGAGGCCATGGGCGAGACCGCCGACGCCGCGACATCCCACGCCGCCGCCGCCGAGTCCGCCGTCGAGGACCTCCTCGACGAGACCCCCCACCACCGCGTCTACAAGGCCATGTTCACCATCGAGGAGACGACCGACGCCGACGGCCAGGTCCAGGTTCTCGCCCACAGCCCCAAGATCATGCAGGACGGCGGCGACGCGCCCCGCTCGTTCCTCGAGCGCATGGCCCTGCGCCAGATGAAGTTTGACGAGGCGCAAGGCCACGATACCATGCACGCCCTCAGCGTCAAGCGCCAACGCAAGCTCAAGATGAAGAAGAAGAAGTACAAGAAGCTGATGAAGCGCACGCGCAACCTGCGCCGCAAGCTGGACAGAATCTAAGCTCGGCTTTGGGGGGGTTCGGTTGTTTGGTTTTGTATATAAAACAAGCAAAGCCCCGTCGGTCTCTTATTTTCTCACGTCCTTGTGTTTTTTCCTCCTTTGGACTCGGCTTCTACCACTCGAGCATATCTGGGAAAGACGCGGGTGTTTTTTTCTCCTCATAATTGGTGTTCTCGGCCGGGCATTCATCGCTGATGGTATTTCATCTCCTTTTCGCGACTGTGCACACATTTCTCGGGCTTCATATAGAGAAGAGAGGGGATAGCTTTGCATCAGATAGCAATCATCCAACTGTTTGCATCCAGAGCCATCACTCATGACCGTGCCGCGATACCTACTGAGAGCGAGACAGACGCAGGATCCGGGGACGCTAGAAACATGAAGAAGGAAAAAACGGAGACGGAGAGATATCATGTACAACAAAAAAGTGTATTACTAGTTCCATCAAACGGAAATAACTCAAGGCCTTCACAGCCCCTTTTAAATTCGTCTACCATACCTATTCTACAGTATTCGTACACCAAACCATCTTCTGAGTGACTGGCAGGCCGTTAATTTTTAAAGATCGTCCGAGGGGGTGTGGCGTTCCCAGTCAGGGGGCGTGACTATAACGAAAAAGTTGCGGCACCCCACCAAGACGCACCCACCTCGAAAGCCCACCGCCCGGCAGAAAATGTTCTCTCCGCCAAATTTTTGGGAATTTCCTCGACGTCTGAGAGCTGGTTTGCGCCGACCCGACTTCTCAGCAAGCCCGCCTTCTGCCAATTTTCCGCCTTCACTCCCCCTCGTCCCTCCTCCCCTGCGAGCTCTGTTCAAGATGTCGCGCAAGGCAGTGTGAGTTCTCGTTATGATATGAACCCCTACATGTATTTAATTGCTGACTTTAATCCAATACAGAGACCAGCGGATCCCGAGTCTCATTAGCAATGGGTACCAAGAGAAGAAGCGCAGCTTCTTCGTGGTGGTCGGTGACCACTCCAAGGATGTCATTGTCAACCTCCACTACTTGATGGCTAGAAACATCAAGCAGAACAAGTCTGTGTTGTGGGCGTACAAGACCAAGCTCTTGGGCTTCACGAGGTGCGTCTTCCGGCTCGAGCAGGGCTCACTTACACAGTAGACACGGAGAAGCTAACATGCCGACCACTTCCTCGAAATCCAGTCACCGAAAGAAGCGCGAGAACAAGATCAAGAAGGAAATCAAGCGCGGCACCCGCGAAGCCAACGACTCCGACCCCTTCGAGCTCTTCGTGTCCCTCCACAACATCCGCTACGTCTACTACAAGGAGACGGAAAAGGTCCTCGGACAGACGTTCGGCATGTGCATTCTGCAAGACTTTGAGGCCATGACGCCAAACATCCTCGCGAGGACGATCGAGACGGTCGAGGGCGGCGGCCTGGTGGTCCTCCTGCTCAAGGGCATGTCCTCGCTCAAGCAGCTCTACACAATGTCCATGGACATCCACTCGCGCTACCGCACCGAGGCGCACGACGACGTCGTCGCCCGCTTCAACGAGCGCTTCATCCTCTCCCTGGGCGGCTGCGACTCGTGCCTCGTCATCGACGACGAGATGAACGTCCTGCCCATCTCGGGCGGCAAGGGCGTCGTGAAACTCCCGCCCACCGACAAGGACCTCAACAAGACAGAGGCCGAGCAGGAGCTCGAGGACATGAAGGAGTCGTTGCAAGATACCCAACCAGTCGGCTCCCTGGTTACCCTCGCCAAGACGACCGACCAGGCCAAGGCGCTGCTGACGTTTGTCGACGCCATTGCCGAGAAGACTCTTCGGAGCACCGTCACGTTGACGGCCGCCAGAGGTCGCGGAAAGTCGGCGGCCATGGGTGTCGCTGTTGCGGCTGCTGTCGCGCACGGGTACAGCAACATCTTCATCACATCTCCGTCCCCGGAGAACTTGAAGACGCTGTTCGAGTTCGTCTTCAAGGGATTCGATGCGCTCGGATACGCCGATCACGCCGACTACTCCATCATTCAGTCCACGAACCCCGACTTCAACAAGGCTATTGTCAGAGTCAACATCCACCGGGCGCATCGCCAGACAATTCAGTACATCAGACCTCAGGATGCCCACGTTCTCGGACAGGCGGAGTTGGTCGTCATCGATGAGGCTGCCGCTATTCCCCTGCCTTTGGTGCGCAAGCTCATGGGCCCTTACCTGGTCTTCATGGCCTCCACGATCAACGGTTACGAGGGTACCGGTCGCTCGCTGTCGCTGAAGTTGATCAAGCAGCTCAGAGAGCAGTCAAGACCTGGAGCCAAGACCGGTGAGGACACAGAGGTTGCCGACAGGACGACGGGCAGAGCCTCCAAGGATCAGGGCTCGAGCCAGTCCAGCCGGTCCCTCCGCGAGATCACCCTGTCTGAGCCCATCAGATACGCCCAAGGCGACTCGGTCGAGAAGTGGCTGAACAAGCTTCTCTGCCTGGATGCCACCCTCCCCAAGGCAAAGGCCAGCGCTCAGGGGTGCCCCGACCCTTCGCAGTGCGAGCTGCTCAAGGTCAACAGAGATACCCTCTTCTCCTTCCACCCCATCCCTGAGAAGTTCTTGCAGCAGATGGTCGCCCTCTACGTCGCCAGTCACTACAAGAACTCTCCAGATGATCTCCAGCTGATGAGTGACGCCCCCGCCCACGAGCTCTACGTCCTCATCGCCCCGACATCTGACGGCAAGCTGCCTGAGCCCCTGTGTGTGATCCAGGTCGCACTGGAAGGAAAGATTAGCAGACAAAGCGTCATCAACCAGTTGAGCAGAGGACAGCGCCCCTCCGGTGACTTGATCCCCTGGCTCGTGAGCCAGCAATACCAGGACGATGAGTTTGCCTCTCTCTCCGGCGCCCGCGTCGTGAGGATAGCGACGAACCCGGAGTACGTGTCCATGGGATACGGCACCAAGGCCCTGCAACTCCTGACCGACTTTTACGAGCAAAAGTTCACCAACTTGTCCGAGGACGCCGACCTCGCCATGGAGGAGACCCTTCCCAGAGTTACGGACGCAGAGCTGTCAAACACCTCTTTGCTCGCGGACGACGTCCACATCAGAGATATCAAGAAGCTACCGCCGCTGTTTGCGAGATTCTCCGAGATTAGGCCCGCTGCCCTGGACTACGTCGGTGTCAGCTATGGTTTGACGCAGCCACTCCACAAGTTCTGGAAGCGCGCCTCATTTGCGCCCGTTTACCTCCGGCAGACGGCCAACGACCTGACGGGCGAGCACACGTGCGTTATGATTCGGCCTCTGGAGAACACCGGCGCCGACCGGTCATGGCTTGGTGCCTTCTCCCGGGACTTCCAGCGTCGTTTCCAGTCTCTGCTGTCGTACCAGTTCAGGGAGTTCCAGTCAGTCGTTGCGCTGAGCATCGACGAGTCTGCCAGCATTGGCGCCAAGCTCGACGGCACTGAACCCACGGCCCTGACAAAGGTGGAGCTCGACAGGTTCCTGACGCCATTCGACTTGAAGCGTCTCGAGTCGTACGCCAACAACATGCTGGACTACCACGTCATCCTTGATCTCGTTCCCACACTCGCTGGCCTGTACTTCACTGGCAAGCTCAAGGGCGACATCAAGTTGACTGGTGTCCAGCAGGCTATCCTTCTTGCCATCGGTCTGCAGAGGAAGGACATGGACGTCATCTCCACTGAGTTATCCCTGCCGTCGTCGCAGTTGCTGGCTATGTTCATCAAGATCCTCCGCAAGATCACAACGCACTTTGGATCCCTGGTCAACGCCGCCGTTGAGGCTGAGCTGCCTAGTAACAACACCATTGGTGTCAGCCGGGAGAACGCTTCTGGGGTACACGACGATGAGGTTGTCGACAAGAAGTTCGTTCCCCTCGAGACATCTCTCGAGGACGAGCTTGAGGAGGGAGGCGATGAGGCTTTGGCTAAGCTTCGCAGGAAGCAGCGCGAGCTCATCGACTCCCTGCCGCTTGACCAGTAAGGCCCCTTTTCTTGATTGCGTAGCTTTGAGAGCACTATACTGACATAAACTCTTAGTTATGAGGTTGACGGTGACGCTCCTGCCTGGGCCGAAGCAGAGCAGGCCGTCAAGGACGGCAAGACCGGCGTGGTCAGCGTGAAGTCGGCCAAGGCAAAGCGCAAAGCCGGCCCGACGGCAGCCGAGATTTACGACGAGGCTCTTGGGGAGAAGAAGCACAAGAAGGCCAAGAAGTCCAAGAAAGACAGGGACTAAGTAAAGATACAGGTAGGAGGGGAATAAGTGACAGAGGAGGCATAAACAAAAGTGTAAAAGCATCTTTACTTACAGGGTGAAACGGGTATTTGTCCTTACTTGGGCGGCCTCTATGCGGAGTTGGCTTGGCTTTGTTTTGTTAACAATTTTAAGAAATTTTAGACTTCTTGATTCAAGCATAAATGGACGGTGATGTCCTCCTCTTTCCGGATGGAAGTGTTCAGAGACTGGACGACATCTTAGATCAAGTGACTGGCCGGTCAGTCGTGATGACCCGGCTCTGATGTGATTCTTGTGATTTCCAAGAAGGAAGGGACGAAGATGATGGAAAACATAGACACCTTCCCTTCCTCTGCCCTCCTTCCATCTTCAACATCAAGGTCGCTCTTTCCTGCGTTGTCTGCTGCTCTTCCTCTTCTCAGAGAAGGTACCTTCCACCTCGACAAACTCGTGGCAACCACCTATTGTCATCTGACGACAACACCTCGACGATTCCCATTCTCACCATTTCAAGGCTTCGACCGGAAATTGCTTCCTCCTTTTCCATACCCTCGAGACCGCAAATCAACCACTCGCCTGCTCTTTTCCCCGCCGTACAATTAATACACATCACCGAAGCACCAAGTCGCAGGTCACCCACACCATCTCTCGCCATCACAACCCCCCAAACTCGAACCGAGAAACCATGTGTACCGAAACCATTGCCCTCTGCGAAAGCTGCGGCCTCCACAGACACATGCACTACCACCGCTGCACAGCGTGGCTCTGGTCCTACCGCCAAATCAAATGGACCTTCACCACCCCTCTCTCCTCGACCCCGAAACCCAAAAACTGCCCCTTCCTCGACGGCGAGGTCAAGACCGAGATCCTCCCGGGCAGGTGTCCCAACGCGACGTGTCCAGGCCACAAGCTGAAAGACGCCCTCGACTCACAGGCGGCCGCGGACAGGACGTTGGACAGAAGAACGGACGAGCAGAAGATTGACGCGCAGAGGATCAAGATGGGGCTTAAGAGGCGACCCGGGCCGGTGCAGGCGTTCCGGGAGCCGTTGGAGGTCGGGAGACCGCATCAGAATCGGGTGCCGGTTGTGATTACGGATGGGAGGCCCGATGAGGGACTGGGAGTTGTGAGAGGACGGGGGAAGCGGGTGGAGGGGATGGGGATGGCGGAGATGGAGACGGAGGGTGAGGGGGCTATGGGGGCTCTGTCGCCGGGTCCTGCTGCTAGGGTGCCTGTGAGGAGACATAGGACGTTCCATGGTCCGATGATGAGGCCGCATTGATGGGTGTTGTTGAGACACATGGCGGGCTCATCGATTTGACGGCACGATACTACGAATTACGAGGGATGGGAAATGAATCATGACCAAACGGACTGGGGAGGGACTGATAACGGGGACTGATAATGGGAGGAAGCGTCTATACTATAGCGCTGATCGGAAGAGTTTCTCTTCACTCTAATAATGAGCGCCGATTTCTCAAGATCACGATGTTCTCTTAAAGGTGTGAAAGGTGTTGATGGAGTCGTGGTATCGTGTAAGACGGTCGTCGCCGCACATCAACCGAATTGTCCAATCACAGCCAAGGCCACCGCTAAGAATGTTTCCAACTACTCGATAAGTTGGTTCCTGCATCGCGGCAAACCGGCAAGTCAAGTCCGTAAGCCCAGGCCCCAAACAGCGCGAATCAAAGCCTGTTTTCATCGCGCGCTTCCCCCCCTGAACTTTGTATTTTGGAGAAGCCAATCTTGGGCAGTGGGGTTCATTCCCCCTGTCGACGGTCGACCATCCACTGAGAAGCTCGAAGGATTCACGTCTGGCCTCCGCGCGACCTGGGGGATCAACCAACTTTTTTATGCTAAAATCCCGCCCCGTTCGTCCCATTTGTGGTTCCTGTGTAAACATTGGACCATTCCCCGTCCTGTCATCCCGTCTCGTCTTCCTTCTCGGTTGTCAACTCAACACCTCTCTCCCACACGTTGAGTCGTTGAATCCATTCATTTGGACGAGAGTTTAGGATTGTCAATTGACTCTCTGTCTCTTCCTTGACGACTAGACATCACCTTCGTTTCTGAGCTCTGACGAAACTCCACGCGCTCGATTGCTTGAACCCACCGGAATCGAACCACTCGCTCGTCCCTTGAAAGGTCGTGACGCTCTCACCAACTCTCGATCCACCAACCTCTCTCCCAAACCCTCAACATGCACACGTCCAACCTCGCCCCGGTGGCCTTCGCTGCCCTCTCCCTCCTCCTCAATCCCGTCGCCGCCATCCCCGCTCCCGTCCCCGTCCCCGTCGCCGCCCCCGAGCCAACCCTCGTCGCCCGCGCCGATGTCATCGCTCCCACCGCCGCCTGGATCAGCGTCAACAACAAGGGCGTCCCCACGACCGTCACCCCCGTACCAACCACAATCTCCGGCACCGCGACCTACGCCTCCGCCGCCCCCAACGCCTTGACGGGTAGCGTCTTCACCCTGACCGACTGGCACCTCGTCAAGGTCACCACCAGCACGGGCACCCCGCCCGTCGCCACGGCCGACAGCAAGAGCGGCGCGGGGGCCTTTGCGCCGTGCAGTAACACCAAGGGGGACTTTTCGCCCTTTTGCGATCCGAACAAGGGGAGCACGCTTTATACTGATGGGACCTACTATGGTAAGTCAAACACCGACTTCTGAAACTCGCCTCTCCCCGTACAGGCGATGAAAGTAGCATATCGAATATCAAACTGACCATCCCATCTTCCAGTAACCTGGGACCCCACCGTCCTCATCAAAGGCAACAAGACCAACGTCAACGTCAAAATCCAAGGCAAATCCGTAAACGGCACAACGGTAGGCGACATCGTCCTCAACGCCGACACAGACACCACGAACCCGGCCTCCTACGGCTACTACGCCTGGACCGTCTCCTCCAGCCTCATCCCCTCAGGCCAAGACAACGCCACAATCGAGCTCCTCATGTCCTACACCGTCGACGGCACCGCGCAGGACGCCATCACCGGCCCGCAGGTCCTCGTCGCCAAGCGGCCAGAGTGGCACCCCGAGGCCGCGAAGATGCCCAAGGGCGCGGAGCTGTACATCGCTCTCCCCACCGTGTTTGGGTTCATCATCATTTGCGTCGTTGGCGGGTGTATCTGGAACCGGCGGACGCGCAAGATCGGGCTGGGGAATATCATGAGCCGGTCGAGACACGGGTACGGTGTCGGTAAGTCGCGGGCGCAGAGGCTGGGGGCCAAGGTTAGGCAGAGCGTGTTCCACGGCGGGCGCAAGGATCGCGGGATTCAGTTGAGGCAGCGGGAGATTAGCCCCGATGGGTATGTGTACCGCGACGAGCCGCTGCCTGATCAGCAGCAGAGGCAGCATACTGGCGGACTCAACACCAATGGTGGCGGTGGTCTCGGTCATGCGAGGAGGGATAGCGATGCCCTGGGAAGTCTTGCGGGAAGCCCGGTTTCGGCTACGTTCCCGCACCATGAGCCCCAGGGTGGTAATGCTTTCCGGGAGGAGATGAGGAGGCAGGAGAGGGAGAGGTACTGAGAGGGACCATGAACTTTCAGAGGCATGCCATTTGGCGTGCTGCCGAGAGGAAGCTGTGTTGTCCGGCGAGGCTACCACAGGGGGTAGGTAGTAGGCGATGACGGAAAACATGAGAATAAGTATCACGATATAGACGACGCAAGATTCAGAGATGAGCTGGTTTGGAGCTCACCTTCGACGTAATATGTAACAATAATGAAACTCATGAAGAATCTCAAGGCCAGTGGCTTGATCCAGTGAGATTGTGACCGGTGTCATAAGGTGCTATATTGCTACTAGGGAAGTACAATCAGCTTATGTAGTCAACCGCCTGAGGAGGGGACCGGTGAAAGACATCATAGAGTCGCTCTTTCACGTCTAGCAGTCTTGCAACAAAATCTTCTTTTTTCCAAGCCATGAGATGAAGGTTCTTTTCGAAGCAAAGCGCGAGCTTTCATACATTCCTAAGCCCTACTGAATCTTCAAACGAAGGGCACGATAGGGTCGCACATTCACATCTAGCAGTCTTGTAACATACATCTTTTTTTCTTTCATCTCAGGTTGTAAAGCGGACATTCAATTCTAGGCCAAGTTCGATTCTCTATCCTCTCCTTATCCTTACACTCGGGCGCTATCGCTAGAGATAGCGCTAATAACGAGGACTCCAAGAATGCCCACATCATGCCTTTTTCCTTTATCTCATCACTGTCCATATCTCACATACGCCGTATGGAATATGTTAAAGATAGTAACTATTGCTAGAACCTGCGAGTACTATACGCATCGTCTTTGGTCTAGAGGTATAGGCATCTTGGATTGCAAAGGACCCGGGCTGTTGTTAAATCGTTAGTGACACATATGTCAGTCACGGGAATTGACCAGTACCTTGGCATCCAGGGATGTGGTCTGTCTTGCTTGAGTTCAGAGGTACGCCCTGGATATCTTAGTTTTTATAGGAGCCCGTCGTTATCAAGCACATCGTCAGTTACGAATACGTCAGTAACGGAAAATAATCAGTATCTCGGGATCCTATCCGCATGAACCACTTTCTCGTTGTCTCAATTGCTTGGTTTAAAAGCATGAGCATCTTGATTATCTGAGGCAATCTCCAGATACCAAGATAACGCTGTAACAGCTATAAACATGGATCCGAGAGTATGACCTACAGCAGGACCAGCGGTCGTACTGAACCTCCGTGCGCAAAATGAGACTCTAGTAGACGCGAGTAGCTCGTCCAGAACCATCTTGCTTGTGAAGATTCTTGTGAAAACACCGCTTTTCCAGCCAGGGGCAACAAGAACCCGCCAGGTGAGGAAGAGTACCAATTCGACAATTGTTGCGTATGGGAACGCCATGATTGTCGTCTATCCAAGTAGACTGTCTTCATCTTATACTACTTGCTTCGAAAGCAGAGGCCCTTAATCCCTATAAGAGCTACCCCGTCGTCGTCACATATATAATTAGTGACGAATACGTCAGTCACGGGAAACGGTCGGTAGTACCTTGATATCCAGGGATCTGCTTCAATCTTGATCCAGAAACATATTCATCCTGATTTTATGAAGTAGGATCACAGAACCATTGGCCTCATCCCATGTGCATCACTCGCACATGTGTGGGTGCTGCCGCTGACCTTGCTCCCATCTCAATATTTTATAGTCGTTGCGGCGTTGTCTTTTAGACCGGTCAGGAAGACAAAGAGGCATTCTGCTGAAGATCCCGATAAAGCAGGCCCTAAGACCACGTCTCCCTCAACCTCCTGCATATCACTTCTCAAACGACTGGACAGGCGGGCGAATGAAAGGTCATATCGGCATGTGAATTCATAAGGTTTAATGACGGCGTCGCTACTGAACTGAGACCTCCCGATGTCTCCATACAATTCTGGTCCTCCGACGGGTCCCCATTTACTCTCTTGATACCATCAGAAGCTGTGCAGGTGCCAGCACTTTACTTCTTGCCAGAGCTACCGGAGCTTCCACTGCCATAGCCGGACGAGCTTCTCTCGCCGCCGGGAGAGGTGTAGGTTGAGCCGCCGTTGCCATCGTTGTAGTAGGTGCTGCCGTTGGGGTTGGAGTAGTAGTAGGATCCGTCACTTGAGATGTGCTGGTCAGCTTTCTTTCCTTGATATCTCGAATAGGAAAGGGCAAGACTATCTAACTTTATGTGTTGCCTGTGGCTTGCAAGAAGCTCTCATGTGCCTTCCCGCAGGACCCATGTCAAAGCTCCAAAGTCGAGTCAGGCAAGGACATGTGATTGCATCGTTTCTCCTTCTTATTGCCCGTTATGCGCATACCTGAACACAACCAAGTTTGTAGCGTAGAGAAGCAGCGACGAAGGGCAGCACGATGTTGGTGTATTGCTTTTCCCCGACAAGATAAGCGTTTGTCCACTTTCCCCCGCTGCCAGCCAAGCTGCCACTTTTGGTGACTTGGTCTGGGATCATCCTGGTCCTTGTCGATGCTTGGGTGGATCTCATATCAAATAGGCAAACATCTTAGTTGACAGAAGAGCCTAGTGATCATGTCCAAAGAGACAAAATCAGAGGGACTGCGATTGAGAACTTGGGAATGGCTTCTAGCTTGCAGAGCATATAAGCAGTAGACTACTCCCAGGCGCGTTGTCGATGAATCGATGTGACCGGTAGTCGAGTGAGGTGGGATGAGAGCCAGAGAACCCCTCACTCGCACAGCTAGCCCCCACGTTTCAGGGATCAGCTTGCATGGAAAAAGCAAATGACATCCCTCAAGCACCAACTCACTTGTTGAACTCACGCGCCTCTCGTTCCTACACTTCCGAACCGAAACCAGATTTCATATGCTACCGCATCTCGCTACAGGTATCCCAATTGCGCGTAAACCCCTAAACAACATAGTACCCATCCCATTAGAGGCAAAGAAGAAAGAGTCCAGCATCCCAATTCCAACAAATATAATCACCTAATCGCTCCGTCGTCACGCATTACAATGTTCTCCCTTGTCGTTATTTCATTCCAACACTTGAACCAAGTCAGTCACAAAGCACGCAAGGTGCGGAGTAAACACCCCCAACTCAAGGTAAGGTTCCCTCAAAGCTTACTTTTTGCCGTACCCGGAGCATGTTCGGTATCCGCTGGCCGAGGTGTACGGTGAACCGCCGTTGCCGTCGTTTTCATACCTCTCACTCTTGGGGGTCGAGTAGTGAATTGAGCCGCTTCTATCCATCGTTTAGCAGGATTCCGTCAGTCTCTCGGGTTTTGGCCTCCTCTCACGCCCCGCGCAAGACGTACATCCCCAGATGTTGGATCGAAGACTGGGCGAGGATGATCAACAGTAAGAATGATTGATACTCACGCGCTGGGATACTGGTATGAATTCGGGTTCGCAGAGCTGCTGCTGCTGCTGTTTCCGTAGTCGCGAGCGCAGGAGTAGTTACCCTATTTATTCCCCCCCGCAGTGAGTATTTTGCTACTTTCACGAGAACCTCGGATTGGCTTTGGGTTCTCAAATTACCTGGCTGTTGCTCTTGTACGAATACCCCTTACTGCTTGGCATATTGTCGATCTTGGGGAGAAGGGGGGGCGGTGGGTTCTGTTCCTTATTTTCCGAATGCTTCTGAGTTGGAGTTGGGCCGGGGAAGAGGAAGATGTCGTCGGGCCTTGGTTTACTGTTTTCGCTTTTGACACAAAGTGGAGATGGGAAGAAGCAGACGAAGAAGGCGAACTCAAGTATAAGAAGAAACTCTCACTCTCTCTCCATTTCACGGCACATGGTACGAGATACAGATCAAGGTACATAATGGGCTGATCATGGGCGATGCGTGGCTTGAAACGCCTGCGCTACTTCACCTTACCCCGCCCCACGGGAGCTCATTGGAGAAAGCCCATAGTGAGACTTTTTTCACTCTCTAATAATTCCCGTGCCTTTACGAGTCGGGTCCATTGACAAGTTAGGATGGGATGGATGGTGGGATGGGGGTGGGAACGGACGATGCGGCAAAAAAAAGGACCAACGAGTGGATGAAAAGGAATGCTTTGGGCAAGGCGTCAAGCGTTCGAGCCGCATACCGCATGGTTCCTCGTGGGTCGAGCGAGGCGACACTCATGCGCTGGCGAACAGAAGTGTCTCTGCATCGTTTCTTTGGGCGCTGGATTTTCTGGGGCATTAGGTATCGGTAGGACCAGTCGTTGGGTATTTTAAGCTTCATGTGGGGGTCGGTGGGCTTGAGGCCTTTGGGGGGGAGTGGTGAGTTGGAGGAGTCTGGTTTCTGCATGAGCAGACTCTTTGGATGAGAAGGAGTCCGAGATGTGGAGGGGGGCGAAGGGATGACTTGGATTCTGCAGCGAAGATTACTTGAGTTAGGTACTAGGCAGGGAAAAACACGGGGGTACCTGAGCTCAGGAAGCTTCATAGAAACTTGGGACGACACACGACCACATTCGCACTCCTCGGTTTTTGAAGAGGGAAACAGCGGCTCTTTGAATAATAACACTGCCTCCACGCTGACGTCTTAGCTCGGGGTGGTAGTGTAACAAATATCAAGGAACAGGAAAGACATTAAGAGAGAGCAGCTGTGACCGCAAGGAGTGCAGATCCGGGAAAGCCCGGCCATATGTAGGGGACCGACGGACGCGGTCAGGGGCATATATCTCCGAGATCTGCTTCGGTCGACTCGGATCTGACTCCGAGGCGATGGGAGAATACCACCCTTTTTTGTCTACAATGATTTTAATACGCTTGAATTCAAAAGTCTATTTTTTCGTGCTTTTTGCCGGCATATCTAGTCTAGAGGCTCTTCTATATCATTATGCGGCTCACAAATAGCCCATTCACGACTCTTCTTTTTTTTTCCTGAGTTTAGAGGTGATGATCTAGTCAGTTGGAAGGGTCCTTGGGGTCGCCGTCCTCGAGCTCGGCGAGGTACTTCTCGGCGTCCATGGCAGCCATGCAGCCGGTACCGGCACTGGTGATGGCCTGTCTGTATCTCTTGTCCTGGACGTCACCGGCGGCGAAGACACCCTCGATGTTGGTCAGCGGCGTGCCGGGCTTGGTGACGACGTAGCCCTCCTCGTCGGTCTCGAGCTGTCCCTTGACGAGCGAGGTCGCGGGCTCGTGGCCGATGGCGTAGAAGAGGCCGTTGGCCTCGAGCGTCTCCTCCTCGCCCGTGACGGTGTCCTTGACGACGAGGTGGCTCATGAGGCCGTCGTCGCCGCCCTTGATCTCCTTACCGGCCGAGTTCCAGCGGATCGTCACCTTCTCGTGGCCCTTGAGGCGCTTGGCCATGATCTGCGAGGCGCGGAGGACGTCGCGGCGGACGAGGACGGTGACGTGGGAGCCGTACTTTGTGAGGTAGAGGGCCTCCTCGGCGGCCGAGTCGCCGCCGCCGATGACGACGAGGTGCTTGCCACGGAAGATGGGGACGGCGCCGTCGCAGACGGCGCAGGCGGAGACGCCGTTTTGCCAGTACTTCTCCTCGCCGGGGAGGTTGAGGCGCTTGGCGGAGGCGCCGGTGGCGAGGATGACGGCATCGGCGGTGTGGGTGGTCTCGGGCTCGAACTCGGTCGAGTACTTGAAGGGGCGGGAGGAGAGGTCGAGGTTGGCGACGGTGTCGGAGATGATTGTGGTGCCGAAGCGCTCGGACTGGGCCTTCATGTTGTCCATGAGCTCGCCGCCCATGATGCCCTTGGGGAAACCGGGGAAGTTCTCGACGTCGGTGGTGGTGGTGAGCTGACCGCCGGCGGCGATGCCGTTGGCCATGAAGCCCTCGTAAAGGACGGCTGGAGGGGAGAAGTATCGTCAGTGAGATGGTCCTGGAGTAGGGGGGACGGGAGGAAGTGGGAGGAGGCTTACGCTTCAGCTCAGCGCGCGCCAGGTAGACGGCGGCGGTGTGGGCAGCAGGCCCAGAGCCAATGACTGTAGAATGAGGTTAGCAAGGCGCATTGCAAGATTTGAAGCCATCACGGCTTGAGAGGCATGTTTGTCTCTGCTGTTCGGCAGGAGGGGCAACAATGCAGGAGCGGAGAGTCGTGACATACTGACAACCTTGTTGTGCATTTTGCGGGCACTTGACTTTAAATCAACAGGGTTCGTAGAGTTCTTCTTGAGGGATGTGGTGGCTGCGGCAAAGGATAGACCAGTGGCGCTTGAGCGAAGGATTGTTCGTCTAAAGGTTGAAGAGAACAGTTTGGCGGTGATATGCGCGTTCAGGAACACGCACTATCCTCTCCAAAAAATGGCGGGGTATCAGAAAAAGAGAGATATATGTACAGCAAGAGGGGAGGAGGGGGTGCCACAGACTCACAGTACGCCAGGGGGCGTGTGAGAGAGAGGAGGGGTGGAGGGGCAAAACGAATGGAAGGGGGCAGGACGGCGACGGCGACGGGGTTTGCTTCCAATCAAGGCTTGGAAACTCGTGGACCGCTATCGTGACGGCAGACGCGGGATGGTAGTGGTAGCACGGAGTACAGACAGTGGTTCTGCAGCAACAGCACAGCTAAAATGATTTCTAATGGTGGTGGCCGGGATCTGGGAGACTTGATGCGTTGCGCTGCTGGTGGTGGTGGATTCCAGAATTCCAGAAATTTTTAATCGGGGCCTGCCGCACGATTCAGGGTGCATTTGATAGCGTCTTGTCAGACGGCCAAGCCAAACCACATGTGGTCTGGATGCGTGATCGGAGTGCTGTTTCTCTGTCGTGATTGTGTGGATTACCTAAGCACCGAGTCGCCGACTCCCCGTTCCGTCGGTAGCCCCCACTTGCCGAGGCTCTTCCGAGTGACGCAACTCGGCTCCGAGCCACAAATCTGCTGCACGGTGTGCCGTGTACCTACCTTAGGTACCTCTCTCTCTTCGTCTTCTCGTGAATTGTGGACTGAGGTGGTCACCGGTGTCGGGAACTTTATATCTACAAGGGTTCTCATGCTGCTGGGAATCTTATCAATCGCATCAGCAATAATTTGGAATTGTTGACGTCAATGAAGCTCCTGCCTCATAAGACTACTGTCTGGATTGGAGTCAAGGCCGTTGTAGTCGGCGATATTCCCCCAATCGTTGCGTTCAAGTATTTAAAATTATCGCGCACGCGATCAGAAGGATGAGTCAATATTGCGCCATGAATTCTTTCCCCCGAAGATACCTTACTCATTTGCTTCATAACCTCAACCACGCCACATGCTTCTCTGAGTTGTTTCCTCACAGCTACGAGTCTTACGTTTCGCAAGTGCGCTTGCTCGGGAATATTTCTGACTTACTAATCACTCAAGCCGAGTGAATTAGAATTACCAAGATCTCTCAACGCATGCTCAACCTCCTCCGAGAACGTGTATTCAATATCTTCTTTCAGATAGTGAAGATGCTCCTTCACGTCGACTAATTCACATCCATCATTCTCGACATCTTCGAATTTCAGAAACGACTATTGCAATCTGACCAACAGTTCTGCATTGCGACGAAGAACACTAAGTCAATCAAGGAAACTGCAACTGTAGGCGAACTCTTGGTGACAATCTTTGGTACATCAAATCCAGCCTTGCAATATACTTGCACCTTAGGCAAGCATCACGAGAGCGACCTCAGATCGATGTTTTAACCACTTGTCATAAGATTTAAAGTGTATACAGTAAGAGTCGGCTACAAATACGGCCGCCGTTGGATAAATGTCGCTATTCCGGCCTTTCCCCTTCCCAAAGGCCAAAGGCACCCATATTCCACGCACCCAATACCCTACGCATCTGGCAGCCCAGAAATTACAACACCACTGACAAAATCCTTGGCGTGCCCCTGCGTATCCATCTTACCAGTACCATTCTTCAGGTAACAATACTCCCCCGGCAACTTAATCATAGCAACAGACCGACAATACCCTCCCGCCTTGACATCCCCGCTGGCGAGATTACTCCCGTACGCCTGGTTATGCGCCGCACACAGCGCCATACACTCCTCAAACGTCGAGACGTACACCTTGAGGATATCGTACAGAGCCGGATTTCCGTACGCCGCGCCCGAGGGGTAATTCACCTCGCAGAGCTGGCGGAAGGTCTGCGTCGAGTACCCAGAACCGATCTTCATCGCGTTGCCGCCGGCGTCGGTGGGCGTGTAGGTCGTCGTGTTGATACTCGGGCAGCCTCCGTCCGTTGGCGCGGAGCGGATGCCCGTCGGGATTGAGCGCGCGGTGGATGAGGTGGCTGTCGAGCTGGAAGATTGGGACTCTGTGCCTGAGCTTGCGCTTGAGGTTGTAGGCGCCGATTGCGAGCCTGCTGTTGCTGAGGCTGTTGAAGACGGGCCTCTATATGGACATTAGATTCAGTCAACTATGTTCTCGTCTTGCTCTAGTAAGTGGAAGAAACAGGTGAACTTACGCTGACACCGCCGAACTGTTGGCCTTTTGCGCCGCCAAACCCCCCGCCACACCGCCGGCGATACCCCCCGCAAGAACAACCACCAGCGCAATCACCAGGCCCCAGAAGACAGGCACCGTCAGTCCGAGAACGCGCCGTCTCTCTGGCGGCGGCGCGTCTGCCGCCGCGGCGGAAGCATACGCCGGGTGATGGGCCTGCGTGATTGTCGTCCACGTCGACTTTTCCAACGGGCTCTGGAACTCGGAAGGGTCGTACGGGATCGGCGCGGTGGAGTACCGGCTCGGTGCCGCTTCGAGGCCCGGCTGGTCTGGCGCCGTCGCCTCCGCGTGGGGACGGTATTGGATTTGATCGGCCATTCCTAAATCCTCTGTCGTTTTTCTCTTCTTTCCTTTTTTTTTTCTTTTTTTGGCTCCGATATCCTGCCAGGAGAGTTGAAAAAGGCGAGGCGAACGCGCACGACGATCACAGATTGAACGGAAAGAATGGCATCAAGGTCAAAAGAAAACACGAGCAAAAAATGAGATTGGGCTGCCAGCCGAGTACTTGAATAAGAGCTCAGCTCGCAAGGGTGAACACACCGTCAGACCCCGGCTACGATGGTACTGTAGGCGGCAACCGAGCTTACCATGCAGCGCGCCACCTGGGGGGTTCGCTTTTCACACGATGCCTCATTGAGCAGAGAAACCCATGTACGAACAAGCTTGTTTTGGGGATTGGGGACAGCACGAGCCTTACCTTCCCTTCTCCTGAGACAATTCTCTGTCTGCCTCCCTCGTGGCAAGCGCAAACGCGACCGCCCGGCGACGCCACGTTCCATCCCATGCAATTTAGCCTCAGCCCTAAAGCGCGAACAGTGAGAAGGGGGACGAGAGGAGGGGGGGCCAAGCGTATGATGAACGCTTCATGTGCAAGCTGTCGCGACGGCAGGAATCCGTCTACGGATACTAACGAACCCTTTTCGAAACGGCGCCCGATGGTGATGGTGGTGAGGGCGGGTGAGCGGTGGTTGGCTGGCCTTGGGGTCGTAGCCGCCGGGGCGCCTGCGTGTGCTTCGCCTCGTTGGCGCGTCAACCGAAATAACTCTTGTCTAGCCTGTGTCTGAGCTGAATCGCAACTGCAGCTGTATAGAAGTCTGATTTGGTTGGAAGTGATTCTCGTGGTCGAGTTGTAATTCGCGGTAATTCGGGATTTCCGAGGTTGAAATAACGGGCGACGAGGAAGAGATTGAACTTTTCCATGGGAGTTAAAATGATCCGAACAGGTATCTTACCTTGAACAATCATCGCCCTAGATGGAAGCAAGACGACTGATTACAACGACCGCGCCGATTTGGCAACCAACGATGTCCTTGGACATGTGATTGAAGCTTACGATGAAACTCTTTCACAACAGTGTCTTTTGCATCTTCTCAGCGATCTTTAACGGCTTCAGACTTACTTAATATTGGTATAACTTGAGAGTCGCCATGTACCATGGCTCTCAAGAACATATCTTAATTTCCATCCGCCGAACCCTACCAGGTGTCAGATTCGACAAAATTGGATGACGTGACAGACTGAATCATGTATCTTGAGCGATAGTGATCTGGGAACATGGGAGGTGGCCTATCGGCCAACAGGATCTAGTGCACAGTCTTGAAAAGAACTACAGAGTCATGGATTTCATAGCTATGGCTACGTAGATAACCTTCCAGTTTCAGGGCCTGCGGAACCCATTTCTACTCGAATATTCACCCTACCAACCCCTCCAGCCACCATCAAGCCTCGAACATCAAGAAAGCTCATGTCTCCTATCATGGTTACTAGACATCTCGTTCGGCACAGGCTGTTCGTGAACCTCAACCGGCACATATGCCGTCCGCTCCGACTTAGCCCACGGCGACGACGGGCCCGTCCCGGAAGAATCCACCTGGCTCGACAGCGCCGCCCTCGTCTTCCTCTTCTCGCGCAACAACATGACGGTCAGCGCCGCGATCGCCAGCGCCAGCGAGGTGCCGATGCCCACCCCGATTCCCGCCGCCGCGCCCGTCGAGATCCCGTTGCTACTACTGGACTCTGCCGCGGTCGCGGAACACGTGGCGGCGGCCCCGGTGCTTTGTCCTGCTACTGCCGCGGTCGCGGTCACCGTCGTCGTCGCGAGGTCGCCGAGGTCTGATTTCAGATACTCGTTGAGCAGCATCCGGCCCGCGGGAACGCCAAAGGTGTAGTTTGCGCAGTTGCCGGAGTTTTGACATGCGAATTTCTTGTCGCCGCATAACGCAACACCGCAATGCCGACCGGGAACTATTTTATAAGTCAGCCCAATGACGAAACTGAAAGTACCGAAACTCCACACAGAGGATACTCTCAGTTCCTCCCTTCACAAAAGAGGATCTTACCTCCGCCGGTAATCTCCTCCTTGTCGCAGTACTTCGGACACCCGCTCCTCGACCAATTCTGATCCGTACACGCGCCGCGGTAGAAGCTCAGCTCCGTCTGCGAGAAGCAGAGGCCGTTGCTCATGCAATAATGATTCTGGAAGCAGCACGCCGCGACCTCGGTACCGCCGGCGACGGGACAGGCTACCGCCTGCGTCGCCTCGACGCCGTTGGGCCAGTAACACCTCTGGCCCGCCACCGCCGTGACCAGCGGCACCGTTGCGAGGAGAAGCCGCCATGGTAGCAGCGGCAGATGCATTGTCAACGATGGGTGCTGCCCCGAGCAATCCTGAAGAAAGGTGAGAGAGAGTTTTCGGCACGACGGGGAAGAGAACGCGAGAAAAGCATTGGTTTGGGGCGGGACGGAACGCTGCGATTAATAACTCGCAACTCCATGCAGGCACAACGGCTATGCTTCGATTTCCTATGCCCCAAGCTGGGCATTCAAGGTCACCTTGAAGCCAGGGTTCTAGAGACATGCAGCGCTTGGCGACTGATTTTGGGGGTCGAGGGATTCGAATCCCTGACCAGCCTTAGACGCCTTGAACGAATCACGCCGCACACGGGCTTGGCTAGACGGGTTTCGCGCCGTATGGAAATGACCGCAATACAAGACTCTCCCAGCGCAGCTGCCATTCACTTATATGGTGTAAGGACTGCCCAAACTGTTTCGTAGAGGAGCGCTATGTGAAAGGTCTGCTGCAAACACCTGCAGGTCCCTCTCCACCAGCTCCACGGATACCAAGGGTTAATTCTGTTGCCTTGCGGCCCTTGCCGGAATGGCTGCGATCGTCATCGATCCCCTCATCAGAAAGAGACGGCTTTCACAGGGGTCGTCTTTTACGAAACGCAAATTGGGAATAGCTCAAAAAGGAAAAAAAAAAAAAAAGCATAGAGATAAGCTTGTTGCAAATCATAGTCAACCATCTCGCTACGCTAAGTGACGTGCTCATTATAATCAACCCCTCCTCCGTCTCGTCGCCCGGACTATCATACAGCCCTCGCTCTGTTTACAGATTTCCATTCCATAAAACAAGCCGCAATGGCCGAAATGGCAGCCAATGGAATCGCAGCAGTAAATACCACGCGGAGAGCATCATTATACACAGAAACCATCATCGGGAGCGCCTCAGCCGGCACAACCGTGCGGAACGCCGTCACCCCGGCCCCGATCACTGCCGGGATATCTACCCCGGGAGCCGAAGCCCGCAGCAAGTGATCCTGAAACAGCGCATTCCCGATAGACACAAAAACGGCTCCGCCCAGCGCCTGCGACGCCACGACCGCCGCCATCCCGACGGGCACCTCGTCCGGCGGCAGCACGGCCTGCACGGCAGTGAACCCTTGCTGTATAGCCATCCCGAAACCCGCCGCGACGAGGATCTCGAAGCCGATCCAGTGCGGCGTCGGCGTGTCGGACGAGAGCGCAAGGAGCTTGCCGCACCCGGCTGTCGCGATCATGCCTCCGATTATGGCCGGGGCTGGGGGGTGACCCACGACGGAGACGAAGATGCCTGCCAGGAGGGAGAAGAGGGCTATCGCCGCGACGTAGGGGAGCATGTCCACGCCGGAGGATACGGCGCCCTCGCCGCGGACCGCTTGGAACCAGATTGGGAGGAAGTAGAGGTGGATGAGGAGAGCCCCGTACGTGGCGAAGGCTGCGACGCAGGAGGCGGCTACAGTTCGTTGGGTGATGATAGCTGGTGGGAAGAGCGCGCCCTCCTGTTTCCACCACTGCCATGCCACGAAGACGATGGCCGTTGCGCCGGTGCCTGAGAGGAGGCCGATGATTTTTGTGCTTGACAAGGCTTCGCCTTGGGTGATGTACTGGAGGGCTAGGAAGAGCATTATGCAGGCTCCGAGGAGGAGTACGTTGCCTATCAGGTCTAGGTCAAGAATCTTGTTGAGGAAGGTTTTTTGGTGTTGCGGTTCCTGCCGAGGGTGGAAGAAAAAGAGAAAGACGATGAGGGTGAAGCCTGCGATGGGGAGGTTGATGAAGAAACACCATCGCCACGTCTGGGAAGGGGGTCAGTCACTTTCTCTTTTTTTTTTCCTTTTTCTTTTGCGGACATTCGGAACTGCGGGATCACTCACGACAAGGTCAGTGAAGGTACCTCCGAGCAGAGGACCGACCGTGGCGCCGAGGCCGAAGCTGTCGTTGCATAAGCGTCAATACGTCTTGAACTTCCCTCTCTTTGGATGGAGGTTTCTTACATCAATCCGACGATGGCCGTACAAACCGGCCGCACTCTCACGGGGACCGCCGTTGCGATAATAACAAAACTCCCAGTGAGGACCCCAGCGCTTCCAAAGCCAGCCACGGCACGGCCAACGATGAGCGCAAGAGAGTCGGGGGCGAGGCCACAGATGAGCGATCCAGCAAGGAACATGACTATGGCTAGGACGTATGCCCATTTCACGGAGAAAAGCGAAAAGACTCTGCCAAATACAGGCTGGAAGGCGCAGATCGTGAGGAGCTGAGCTGAGCCGTACCAGCCGATGTCTGCGGTGGATTGAAAATCTGATGTGATCTGCGGTATGGCCTGGTACTGTCAGTTTGGGAGGTTCGTCAAACGAAATGGCCACTTACGGTTGTGAGAAGAGTTCGATCTGCCGAGATGGACAACACCGCGAGACAAATCCCAACTACCAGAACCGCAAGCCGCCATCCTTCTACCCATTGCTCCCCTTCAACCTGGTCGCTCAAAGACGGCGACATCACGGCGCCCTGCTTCTCCGCCCTCGCCATATCGAGATACGTCACTTGGCGCTGGTAGTCCCCGCCATCAACATCGTCAATACCCGGCTCAAATTGTCTTGTGAAACGGCTAATCCGAGCATCAGTCTTGCCAGGATGTCTCTGTTCCGTGACAGGCGTGAGACCCTGCTGCCCAATCCCCCGCGGCTCACTACTTGATGTAGACCCGTGGAGAGATGGATGGCTCGCGAGGTGCCGAAGCTGCGGGGCGAAGATGGACGAGATGATTGACACGGACTCGGATTGCGGTGATGAGGAGGCGTTTCGTTCTACGTCGTCTGTTCTAGAGAGCATACGTGAGTCTGAGACGGTGTGTGACGGGACTCTCTTTATGGCGAAGGGGGACGCGCTTTGGATTTGCGTGGGCGAGATCGAGTCTTCGCTAGGGATCATGCGTACGGCACCGGGTTGTCGCAGAGATGATATCCGTCGCGGGATCGGTGGCGGTCGTGGCCCGTCGGTTAGGGTAACTGAGGATCTGATGGAATCGTGGCGGCGGCATTGGTTTTCATTGTAGAGGCTCTGATATGCCATCGAGAGTTCGCTGTTCCTCTTGCGTGTCTCTTCGTCTGTCACATCCGTCGCCCTCTTCGCCACGGTTCCAGTGGCAGAGGAATGGTCCTGTGATAGGCGAGCCCTTTCTTCCCATTCTTCCGTCACGGATTGTGGCAGAATTTCCTCCCCATCGTTGTCATTCTCCTCTGAGTAGGATGAACGTAGATTGTCGTCGCGGCCAGGTAGTGGAGTGGCGTGGGAGTGTATGACTGAGATTCGCGAGCGCTCCTCGCCGAGGAACTCTGAGGATGGCCTAGATCCGAGTGAGGGCCTTTTTGTCTTGGGTGCACCGCTTCCAGCTACGGGCTCTCGCTTTTCGGCATCGTTTTCCATCTTCTTGTCATCTCGCATCCTGGAAGAGCTTTGGAAGCTAGTGTATCGGACGGCACAATGATCTGTGTACTTGATATTTGGGTAGGTTCCGAGTTCAGAAAAGAGGTGCTGTTGGGCATCGCAGGTCGACCACATATCTTAAAGCTACCGCCTTCTGCTTAAGAGGAGGGGCCAGAAACCACTCACATTTCGATTTAGCTTCATCACTAGTTCGTACCCTGCAGTTGATTGACTGTCTAGATCATCGGCGGCGCCCGAAAACACTGGTAGAACATCCTCAGCTGCGCGCGAATTTTCATTAGCTCGATTTAGGAATAGCCTCGCGTTGAACGTACTTACTACCGAGGCGTTCTACGGAGTCGCTGAACGTCAGACCCCAAAGTGATGGGCTGAACTAGCAAGCAAGACTGCCCGATGTCGGTAGGTATGGGTCTGTAGAGAGTATCGGTTGTGAGACAGGAGGCAGCATGCCATGTGGCTCACGGGCAAGACTGGCACCGCTTGCCAGATCAAGGACTAGATCGGCCAAGTTTCAGTGCCATTACTAGCACACCATTTCTGACAGCCATCGTCTTTTTATGAACCGCGGGGATCCCCCGATAGAACCATGGGGCTGGTGAGCTGTTGTTGAGGATCGAACAAAGCACAAAGCAGCAGCCGAAGGGGCGCTAGCACATGGTGAGGGGAAGTGTGGCGGAAGAGGGTGCCATTCGCGGCGCCGTCGCCGTGGAATTCCAAACTAGACGGAATACCGGGGCCGATGTCTTTGTTTGTCGGGACCGAAGACAATGAACTGGGATGGGAACTTGAAACATGGAGTCCAGAGATGGCAGTTGGTGGCCTCGTCATTATCGGAGAGAGATAGGACTCTGCAAATTCATCGCTTGCTTGGCCTATCCGTGCAGTTGCAGTGCTTTTCGTCCACGGGATGAATCATGGGAGTCTTGTGTATCCGTTTGTCGTTTCGGGTCAGCAGTGGGGGCAGACTTCGATGCGGTCTTGGTGATGAATCAGAGTCGAGGACAGTGGGTGTTTAAACGAAATATCAAACATGTTCCTTGTGGGTTATAGGGAACAATCAACCAGCTTCTCGTCAGTTACAGAAACAAAAAGGACTTCTGCTCAGAAGCTTAAGATGGTTATACCCCTAATCCTGAAGTGCAGCGCTACCGTTTTCTGTAACTTTTGCCTCCAAGTCCCCATACAGGCATCTCTTCTTTTCTGAACTCATTTTCTCTTATCACTCCATTGTTTCTTCATCGTCGACATTGACCTTGCTCTAGTCAGGTAGCTAAGGGATTCTGCTACGCCGTCCCTTTACTAGTGGCTGGTATTATCACGATTGCCCATGTCTCATAAGCCATGGCACCTGCTTGTTTCTGCCAGTTTACTGGATTATTGATCATGATCTTGGTGTGGGAGGTTGAAAGAAGTTCAGAGTTGAAACAAGGGGAGGCTTGCCCGCGCTTCGCCACTTTGATGCTGCCCACCTGGAGCAAGTCGTCCTGCTATCGGCACTTAGGCCAAGAGCTTCATGGGTTGAACTCATCGCAAATACAACATATGCTTGGCAAAACTGAAGATACCTCCAGCTTTCATTGCACGTGATGTCC